AAATGAAACAAAAGTCCTGGGAATGTGTGGTGGCTCTGAGCTGCTGGAGAGCAGAGCTGTGTCCTGCTCATCTTTCTGACCCCAGCACTGTACCTGGCACAGAACAGAAACGGAAACGCCTGTGCATTCAAAGCTGGGGTTTGTGAGGGCCCCTAGAAGCTACTTCCTCCAGGCCACCAAGCGCTAGAGACTACACACAGGTGCTCAGAGATTACAAAACCAAACACAACCAAACCCGTTGCCATTGAGTGGATTCCGACTCATAGTGACCCCATGGGATAGAGATTACATAGGGTTCAGAGATTACAGGTCTCTCATAAAACACATCTGGCCACGTCCCTCAACTGCTTAAAAACCCCTTAGGGCCTCTACAGAAAACAAACAAACAAAAAAAAAAAAACAGTTGCCATTGGCAACCCCATATGTGTCAGAGTAGAACTGTGCTCCATAGGGTTTTCAATGGCTGATCTTTCAGAAGTAGATTGCCAGGCCTTTCTTCTCAGGTGCCCCTGGGTGGAGGTGAGCCAAAAACCACTGAGCCAGCAAACATTTACTGAGGGCCTATGAGGCTGCAGGGCAGCGGTGGTTCAGTCGTAGATTCTCACCTTCCGTGTGAGAGACCCGGCTTTGAGTACCCACCAATGCACCTCATGCCCAGCCTCCACCCCTCTGTCAGAGGAGGCTTGCATGCTGCTATGATGCTGAACAGGTTTCAGTGGAACTTCCAAAGTAAGACTAGGAAGAAAGGCCTGGTGATCTACTTCCAAAAATCAGTCAATAAAAATTCTATGGGTCAGAATGGTCCGTTCTGAAACTGATCATGGGGATGGCTCAGGACCAGGCAGCGTTTCAGTCCAGTGTGCATGATGGGGTCACCATGAGTCAGAGGCTGACCGGACAGCACCCAACAACAACAAATTAGGTCGCGGGCACTGAGCAAGGCCTCAGAGGTTCAGAGAGGGAAATGCCACAGTCTAATGCAGTGATTCAAACTGCCTTGATGGTGAAGCCTCTCTTCATTATATATTTCCCCAGGAACCCCATTTTTAAAAAGTTTTTTTTTTTTTTTTCCTACCAAGCCAACTATATTAAGTAATCATTTAATTTCCTTTAATCTGCCAATCATGGATTTCTGACCAGCACGAGCTAACCCTGTCACCACTGACTTTAAGGATTCCAGCCCAGAGCAAAGAAGTCTGACACTTAGCTTCTTCATCTGTGTGACCTTATAATGGGTAAATGTAGGATTCTCACTATGATTATATTAATCCTAACAGAAACAGGCTTATCAGTGAAGACTGCTGGAAAACAACCTCAGTGAGGCCAAGCCTTCCATTTTGCAAAGAAAGAAACTAAGCCCCAAAGCCACTGAATGTCTGTTCTGAGGCCATTTCCTCATAAGAGGCAAGGCCCACGCCATTCCAGGTAGGAATTGAAATGCGATGAGCTCTAAGGAAGAGGGCACCTGCCCAGGCTCTCACTCCAAGTGCACAGCGAAGCTGCAGGTGGGACCGCTCCCCCTCCCCCTCAACCCTCCTCCTTCAAGCCCAGAGCCTCCGACTCACTGCCTGCCATTATTTTATCAAAACTGGCCCCCAGCCCTGCAGGGCAAAGGCATACCTGCTGCCGCTCGGCCGGGGCCAGCGTGGGTGAGATGCCGACTGGCCTGCTAGCGTCCATGCTGTTCTTGGTCAGGGCAAGGGGCTGCTCCAGCGTTAGGCTGGGGATAGACGCATACAGGTGGCTGCCGTGCAGGCTCACGGTGGGGGCCACCGCACGCTCGATGGGGCTGCGGCTCCGTTCCCGGTGGTCTTTCCGGCAGTCGCCATTGGCCGTCTTGTTCCTGAAACAGACAAATGAACACTCAGATGGGAACACCTGACATTTTCTGAGTGGTGAAGGGGACACTGATCATGTGCCAGGCACTTCATACTTACTATCTCATTTAATTTTTATCTTGTGATAAATATTATTATATTATTATCTCCACTCTGGGTAGTACAAACAGTTAACGTGCTCAGCTGCTAACCGAAAAGTCAGAAGTTCGAATCCACCCAGAGGTGCCTCAGAAGAAAGGCTTGGAGATCTACTTCCAAAAAGTCAGCCAATGAAAACTTTAGGGATCCCAATAGTCTGCTCCACAACTGATCATGGGGATGGTGCAGTACCAGGCAGAGTTTTGTTGCACTGTGTGTGGGGTCACCAGTCAGCAGCTAACAACAACAGCACAGTATACATATGGGGTCCTTGAATGATGGGGACAGCTAACACACTCAACTGCTAACTGAAAGGTTCAAGTCCACCCAGAGGTGCTTTGGAAGAAAGACCTGGTGATCTACATCCAAAACGATCAGCCACTGAAAACCCTATGGAGCAGAGTTCTACTCTGACACCCAGGGGAGTCACCATGAGTCAGGATCAACTCCACATCAACTAGTTTTTAAAAATCATGGGCCCTCAGGTATCCCTGCCAAGCAGCACACACGTGAGGTACCAAGGAGTGACAGCACAAGTAGGAACCACTGTGTGTATGGGGCCAGGTAAGCCTAGACTCACCAGTGAGAAGCTGGAGGGGAAGCTGCACCTCCAAGCACAGCTGAGGAAGCCAGGAATAGACACCTGCCCCTAACACTAGCAGGAAGAAGCTGGTCAGCCAAGTGATCGTCCAAAACCTTTTGGCTGAACAACGTTTCAGATGAGTGAGAGAATGAGCAAACCAACACTCTCTTCATGATGCTTGCACAACAGGCCCATCTGCCACAGGCATCCCGAGAGCACAGGCCCTGTGTGGGCACCGTTCACCTTCCCTTGGCCAGTGCTCGGGCTGACCCTCTACTGCGTAAGAGTGAGGGGGGCCACCAGGGTCACTGGCTGGTGAGGGGCAGGGGGACTGAATCAAGGCCAGCCCTTTGCAGTCCTCCATAACTTCCAGGGAGGGCTTCAAAACTAGCACATTTCCTTGGTGCTAGAAGAGAAAATTAACTAAAAACCAGTTGCTGTTTGAGTCAGCTCCAACTCATGGTGACCCCGTGTATAGCAGAGTAGAACTGTGCTCCACGGGGTTTTCTTTCTTCCTTTTTATTGTGGCAAATATGTATATAACAAATCATTTGCCATTTCAACATTCTTCATATGTACAATTCTGTGACATTAGTTAGGGTTATCATGTTCAACCATCACCGCTGTCTGTTTCCAAGTTCCCCATCACCTTTAACAGAAGCTCAGCATCCCCTAAGCAGTGAGTTCCCCTTCTCCCCTCCCTCCCACCTGCCCCTGGTAACCTCTGATTAACTTTGGTCTTTATGCAGTTGCCTACTCTAGATATTTCACAGAAGTGGGATCATACAATATTTTTCCCTTTGTGACTGACTTATTTCACTCTATTGTGAATAGAGGTGCAATAAACACTGGTGTAGAAGTATCTGTTTGCATTCCTGCTTTGAAGTCTTTTGGGTATATACCTAGGAGTGGAATTGCTGGGTCATATGATAATTCTATGTTTAACTTTTTGAAGAACCTCCAAACTGTTTTCCACAGTGACTGTACCATTTTATAATCCCACCAGCAATGGAAGAGGGTTCCACAGGATTTCCAATGGCTAATTTTTCAGAAATAGATCCCCCAGGCCTTTCTTCCGAGACAACTCTGGGTGGACTCGAACCTCCAACCTTTCAGTTAGCAGCTGAGCATGTTAACCGTTTGTACTACCTAGGGACTCCAGAAGGGAAAATCAACCCACCCCAGTACTGAGGAACTTCAGAGGAAATGCTTATTTGAGTGACATTTCTGCTATTTTCTTGCTGGTTTGCACTTTGTCTCTATAACTGAGTCAAGGACTTCCAAGCAGAGGTTGCTTAAGAGCCAGACTCATTAAATAAGAATACGCTGCATCTCCATATACTTCCCAGTTTGGAGATGTCTTCTCAGACCCGCCCTCTGCTTCACCAGCCACTCCAGCAGTCTGGTAGTCATTAGCATTTTGTGTGATGGCCGCTCACCAGTGTCTGCCTTCTTTCTCCAGGAGACTAGAAGGAGCTCCAAGGGGAAAGTGGGTCTCCCCATCTTGAGCTAAACAATTACCTCGCAGATCGACCCAATGCACCCAGGACACTCAGGAAGTCTGGCTCCTGTGTTTCACTCATCGAGCCCCAGCCACTTAAGTAGAGATAGAAATGCAACCCTTTGAGAGAGAAAACACTTTAAAACACGGCTGCATTTTCTTCTTTCCTTTCCTAGTGACACAAGATCTTTCTTATAAACATTATTTAAATGGGATGCAGGTAGGCTTCCAGGAGAGGCCTGTTTGCTCTGTACTCAGTAGTCTCAGGTTGCTCAGGGTCTTGTGTTCTGGTCTCCCCTCAGTTACCAGAGGGTCGCTATTCCCTGGAGTATGTGTGCCTGCCACTACTGGTAGCCCTTACCTTTCCCTTCTACCCATACCAGTTGCTGTTGAGTTGACCCTGACTCATGGGGACCACGTGTGTGTCAGAATAAAGCTGTGCTCCACAGGTTTTCAATGGCTGGTTTTTCAGAGACAGATCACCAGGACATTCTTCCAAAGTGCCTATGGGTGGACTTGAACCTCCAACCTTTTGGTTACCAGCCAACTGTTTTAACTGTTTGGACCACCCAGGGACTCCTTTCTCCCCATAGTGGGCCAAAAAGTTAGGCAACTAAGTTGGCTAGAATGATGTATGTTGTTGTTGGCTGCTGTTGAACCAGCCCCCGTGCACGATGATCCCATGTACAACGGAACAAAACACTTCCTGCTCCTGTGCCATCCTCATGATTGGTTGAGGATCGAACTGTTGTGATCCATAGGGTTTTCACGGGCTGATTTTCTGGAAGCTCTGCTGAAACCTGTTCAGCATCATGGCAACACACAAGCCTCCACTGACGGTCTGGTGGTGGCTGTGCATAAGGTGCAATGGCCAGGAATCGAACCCGGGTCTCCTGCATGGAAGGCAAGAATTCTACCACTGAACCACCACTGTCCTCCAGAGTGATGTGATGTAAGAGCAAGAATAAACAGGATCTGAGCGAGGACAGGGCCTACCACTGTGACCTTTCCTCATCCAATTCAACTACTTAGCAATCTTATTGGCTTGGAAAAGTGTAAGGGCTTTCCAGATCCTGCCTACAGGAAGGCAAGGCCCACGGGAAGGTCAGCCACAGGGCAGAGCTCCTACAGCTCGCCCAGGAGCCTGGGTCTCATTTCTGAATAGCGCAGCTCTATGTAAATAAGGTACCAGTTTTCTCTGACTACAACTGTCTGCACGTGTTTTCCATCATTAACTGAGACAAGAGGACAAACTGAGGTTTTAGAAAAGAGGTCAACCCTGAGAACATTACTGGGAAAGCATTCTCCCCTCACCCCCACGTTAGCGACTGTTGCCACAGTGGGTCTCCACCTGGGGGCCGGGACCCCCCCCGAGACACATGACAAATGGTGCAGGAATCCACGCGCACTCCAAGCACTGTTTATGCCTTGAATACATCATGTGTCCCCCACATGTATACTTAGTGCTTTCAAATGGGTGGAGATGTTGCTGAGATTAATAAAATATAAATTAATTTAAAATTCCTACTGCTACTAAATTCGTAGTAGTTTTTGTCATTATGTATTCTCTCAATGAATGATAGTTAAAAAAATACAACCGCTATCATACTTTTGGCATTAAGCAGAGTCCTTGTACCAGAGAAGGGATGGAAAACATTATGTCTCTCCTCTGTAAGGGAGCTACAGTGTCTGGCAAGGAGAGAAACCTAGGAAAGATCCCCTTATTTCTTTGCGCTTATCAACAGCAACAGAGGCATCAACATGGTGGTATTCTGTTTTGCGGAAGGGACTATATCAGGGGCCGTGGTCGCCCAGTGGTAGAATTCTCACCTTCCATGCAGGAGACCAGAGTTCAATTCCCAGCCAAGGCACCTCAAGCTCACCCACCACCCCTGTCTTATCAGTGGAGCCTTGCATGCTGCTATGATGCTGAACAGGTCTCCGTGGAGCTTCCAGACTAAGATGGGCTAGAAGTAAGGCCTGGTGATCAACTTCTGAAAATCAGCTAATGAAAGCCCTACGGATCACAATGGTTCGTTCCCCAGCTGACCGTGGGGATGGCACAGGACCGGGCTGCGTTTCGTTCCACTGTGCTCTGGGCTGCCATGAGTCAGGGGCCGAGACAGAAGACAAGTTCCTTCTAGACATGCCTGGTGTTATTAAGTGAACTGTCTCCCCAAAATCTATGTTGAATTTCTAACCCTGGTAACTGTGAACGTGGCCTTGTTTGGAAACAGGGTCTTTGAAGATGTTGTCAGTTAACATGAGGTCATGCTGGAGAGGACAGGTCCTAATCTAACCTGAGTGGTGTCCTTATAAAAAAGAAGAGACACAGAGACAGAGGAATAATTATCCTGCAGCCGCAAGCCAAGGAATGGCAGGGACTACCGGAAGTTAGAGAAACAAGAAAGGATCTTCCTCTGGAGCCTTGGTAGAGAGCATGGCCCTACAGACACCCTGAATTCAGATGTCCAGCCTCCAGAACTGAGACAATGGATTTGTTCTATAAGCCACCCGATGGGTGGTACCTGTCACAGCAGCACTAGGGCGCTAACACACGGGGAACGTGACTGACTCTCTGAACCACAGGCTGCTCAGGAGTTTCCATTATTATGTGTCTAGAATGGTGCCTGGCACACAGTAACTATTTTATGAATGAAAGGATCAAAAAGCAAACAAATTCTTAGGAGAAACCAGGACCAACTGGTCTGAGCGAGACAGAGGAGCTCGTGGAGCTGGTGCACCAAGACAGCACCTGGCTCGAAGGTTACCAGAGAAACCCG